GGAGGGAAACGAAGCCGGGATACCCCCCCTACCCCCCCTTGGGGCTGTAAGGGAGAAAGGAAGAGGGTTTTCACCCTCTCCGCCTTCGGCAACCATCCAACACGCCCCCCAAGGTCGGCGGACATCATTCAGGACTTAGGGCTAATGCTGACAGACACCCTTGGCAATACTTTACGAAAGCCAAAGCCTTGCTGCAGAGGTGGGCCTCCGACCCTCCCTCCAACCTGCAACCTTCCAACCCCAACGTTTCAAGTTTCAGCACTCCACGAAGCTCTCCTGAATGTCAATCTTCTGGCCCATCTGCCTTTATGTCCGGCTTCGAGTGCTTTAAAGCTTGGCGGCGCAGCGTCAACTGCCGCGGAGGTAGTGCGCCGTCCTTGCTTTATCTGATGAGGTTTCCGGCTGTTCGCCAGTCATCGCGCCTCGTAACAACCCGAATTTCCTGGTTACTGTTGAACTTCCCTAGAACCCCCCAAGCCCTCACTAACCTGCCTACTAAGTCCCCCTGACTCTCCAAGTAAACCCAACACAACCCAATTACGAAAGGCATCATCGATGCCACACACCAGTCGTAAAAATCTTCAGCACCTCACGTCAAGAAATTGGCGGGAGCGGCCGGGGTCCCCATAGTGGTCGCCTCGACAATGATCACACTGAACGGGGTGGGGCTTAGGGCACTAAAGCCAACGGATAGTAGCCACTTCGGGGCACTGAAAAGCCAAAAGCTATACTTCTAGCACATATGGGTTTACAAAACTATTGCTTCCTGGGTACCCCACATATTAGTGGCCGCATTATAATAGGGACACAAAAAGAGGGGCACGAAAAGGGCCCGAAGTTTTGAAGACCTATCCGACACTCCTCTAAAGCGTTCTTCGCTCATACGCCCCGGACCTGCCTCAGATGTTGGGTTTTGGGTTTAGGATTCTGGCTTAGGGCTTTGGATTCTGGATGCCTGCTGGGACTCATTAATTCCTCAGGGTCAGCGACTTTTCCCCTCAAGTTGGACAAACTTTTTTTTTTTTTTTCGCACAGCTCTTGTCATCTGAGCCCAGAAGCCCTAAACCCTGAATCCCGAAGCCCTTCCCTGCCCTGTTTTTTTGAGCGTCTGTGGGAACTACGCAGCCGAGGTAGTCCCCCAGATGACCTCATTAAGTTTAAGCTCAAAACGGTGTGGGCCCTTGTTTAGGGTTCAGGGTTTATGAGCCTAAACCCTAAACCCCAAATCCTAAACCCTAAACGCTTTCAAGTAATCAGGTGTCGAAAATACGCCTCGCTTGCTTAACCTACAGCTGCGGAACAACAGCCTGGAAGAGCTGCCACCGTTGAAGCCGTGCCGCCTGGTTATGTTAGGGTTTGGGGTTACCTGAACCCCAAATGTCTGTAGAATAAAAGGCCTCTTGGGCTGTTGCTAGGGGTTTTGGGCTACGAATTTACCACTTTTAGTGTTCTGGTGTGTAAGGTTCAGGTTCAGGGTTTAGCGTTTGGAGTT